AACTATTTGTTAAATAAAAAAACTTATATTAATTTTATAAATCAGCACTTTTCAGTGTTATTCAAACGTATGTTTAAATATAACATAGACTAACTATTTGTTCAATAAAAAAAACTTATATAATTTTTATAAATCAGCACTTTTGAGTCCTATTTAAACGTACGTGTAAATATATCGTAGTCGCTAAGATAAGTACTAAAAAACAAACGTTTCAACAAAAAAACAATAATAATTCCGAATTACGAATGAATTCAACCTTGTGTTTTTCTTTATTCCTACCCTCCATTTTCAGCGAAACGAGCAGGTAAGTATAAGGTAAGTATTTTTTAATAAGTTAAAAAATATATTATATTAAAATAGTTCGTTTAATTCAGTGTACAAAATAATACTAAAAATGATAATTTTTTCCTAAATCATAAAGTAATATACAGTTAGTACGCACTATCTTTAGAAAGAGCGACAATGGCTCAGACGGTAGAGCATTGTCATATAAATGCAAAGGAGGCTGGTTTCAATTCTCCTGTATGTCTATTCTTTTTTTTCTTATTTTTTTTTCTTGTTCTTAAATGAATTTTACCGATAAGTCACATCTTTTTCACTGAAAGATTATTACGAGAAAAAATACGATAAATAAAGTTACTAATTTTTATCTTATAGAGTATTAGATGTAGACAAGTAATTATTTATATGTACATTGTTAACAATTAAATTCAACAGAAAGGATAGGTAATTTCTTCTTAATTAAAATAGTTGAAATATCGTTATTAAAAAACAACAATAAAACAATAAAAAAATGCGCGCGCGCATGTATATGTATAACTCATAACAAATTAAATGAATTTTTTATGGAAGATATGGCATGTATGGAATGAATGGAATGTATGGCACGTATGGCACGTATAGAATGTTTTTAATGGAGAATGGAGGGGAAACCTCAATTGTCCGCTAGAAAAGTGAACTGCATCTCATAAGCAGTCGCATTGGCATCGAGCGTGAACTAGTGTAAAGTGCGAAAGAAAAAAAAGGTGATACGAGCATTCTACAATGAGATCCAACAAGATTGACTATAGGTAATTATTTGTTTTATTGTTTATAGAACATACTTTATATTTTTTTTCAATATTTTTTATTTGTGCAGATTTAAGCAAACGAAGCTGGATAGCTTCATATTTCAATGGACATGCGCACACGTACAACCAGCAGATCTTGCTGTGGCGGGCTTTTATTATACGGGGCAGATCGATCGTGTGCGCTGTTTTGAATGTGGTCTGGAAGTCTGTCGTTGGGAAGAAGGTGACGACCCTGTGACGGAACATCATTGCTGGGCTGGCCGCTGCCTTTTCATTCGCAACAGAAGTTGCGGCAATGTGCCGATCGGATCGAGCTCTGTACTAGTACGTTCTCGAAGAAGTAGAGATGATTATGGATGGTATAAGCTCGAGTATCGGGCAGCAAAAACGTGGGAAGAGCCAGCAACGCGCGCAACGACTAGCTCATCTACTGTCAACCCACCTTCGAGTATGGGCAAGCCTGCGTTATCGTCGATAGAGAGCCTTGTTACAAAGCTTTTTTTCCGATTTACATTTGAGGGAGAAATGTTTTTATCCTAATATCCGGTAGTCCCTTTATGAATTCAATGGAGAGTCCGTTCTGACTCGCTGCTTTTCTGTTTTTCATTTGTTTCAAAGCATCTAAATTCTTTCTCACTTATCCTCCTATTTAACCTGTCCTCAACCTCCCCCTCTTCTATCCCCTCATTCGCTTCTCCCTCCAGGTTCGCGCTTCCTCTCTCATTCTCGTTCCCCCTCTCGTTCATGCTTCCCTCCTTGTTCGGGTATCTCCTCTCTTCCCCTGTTGCTCCTAGTAAATTCTTAAAGTGTTCGGCCCATTCCTCTCTTTTAATTATTTCCCCGTTTCTGCTTCTCTTCGGCCTTTCTTTATTTACTATCCTCCAGAATTCCCCCATGTCCCTGCTTGTTGCCATGACTTTGATCTTTTTTTCGTTTTCCTTTCTTACTTTTCTCGCTATCATCTCTTTTAATTTGTTTTTCTCACTTTTCCATAACTCTCTCTTTTTCACCGTTCTGTCTGCTCTCCATATATTCAACTCTTCTCATACTTTCTTTTTTTGGATTCTTATCTCTCTATCATTGTTTCTACTCGACCTCCACTCCCTTACACTACATTTCATCTTTAATTCTTCTGCTGTTACTTTTATTTTCGTTACCAAATTATTCAATTTATCCTGCAGTGATTTGCCCCTCAGTTCTTCTATCCTCCATTTTTTCCCCATCGAAACCTCATATTCCTCTGCCTTTTCTTTCCTCCATATAAGTCTTTCTCTAGCCTCTTCTTCCCCTTCCTCCTCCCTTTTTTTCACTTTTCTCCAACACGAAAATTACTGGTAGGTGGTCAGATTCTATCCGTGTTACTATTTCTATCCCCGTCACTATTTTTGTCAGCCCAATTCCTCTTTCTATTACCAAATCGAGGACCGATGAGCCCGCATCCCCAATAAAAGTAATTTCCCCCCTTTCGTCTCCGTTGCAACATCCGTTTTTTATTTCCGCGTTACAGTATTTGAGGCTTTCTATCAGTTTTAATCCCTCCCGCGTCGTTTTTTTGTCCTCCGAATTCCTCTTTCTGCCCTTACTTATCTGTTTGCTTCCCGCCCTTATATTGAAATCCCCTGCTATAATAAATTTCTTCCCTTCAACTAAACTCACCTCTATTACTCCTTTCAGTTTGCTGATCATTCTGCTCGTTTTCACGTTGTTATAAATCGTTATAACATCAATTTTTTTCTTTCTCCATCCAAATATTCCTTATTACTATTCCATATTCCCATTCTTCTATCTCCGCGTTTTTACTTATCTTTCTCTTATTCCCTACCATAACCCCCCACTAGCTCTCCCTCTCGTTTTCACTTTGATCGTAGCCTTCATTTTCCGCCTATATTTTTTGTTCAATTTATTAATTAAATTTAGTTCTTTATTTTTTTCTACCCACGTCTCCTGTAAAAAAAGAATGTCAAACTTATATTTTTTAAAAACATGTAGAATAAGATGTTTCAATTGATACAAAAAAATATTCTTTTATTTTTTTTTATTAAACCATCCAAAAAAAACGAAATTCTTCGCTGACTCTGACGATGACAGCATCAGCAGCAGTTTATCTTTTTATAATAAATTTTGTATTTTTTATCAACCAAAAAATTTATAGAACATAGAATTTAGATGAAAAAAAGTGTTTATTCATTGTAGTTGAGGTGGTGTACAATGATGACATGTGTACATATGATTACTAGTCCTTCTTTTCATTATTGAACTGCTGATAGCCTTTCTGTCCAGGAAAATTATTAGTATTGCTCGAAAATTTGGAAATACTTTATTTCCATGTCAATGATTCTTTGTTTTTCTTTTCGTCCGGGTCTTCCTGAGGAAGACGAGAGTACTTTACTTCAGAGTAGCGATCCATTTTATTGGAATACTGGTTGACGAATGACTCGATAATTCTTACACCGTGCTATTTATAGTAGCTTACAACCACGAAGGCTACAAATAAAAGAAAGTAAGCAGGATTTTGTGTTGCATTTTTTTCATCTTTGTCTTCACAGGTACTTGCACTTTTTTTCTATTGAACCATCTTCGGTAGATGAGACACACACGCACACATACACACACGCGCGCGCGCACGCACAAATTATAATAAAATTATTTAGGGGAGAAATATTAGTATCACCATAATAATAAATTAATAATATATACACGATGAGAACTATCCGGGGTACCAGTGGCAGTGGCTTTAGCGGTAGAGCATCGCCCTGCGGATCCAGAGGACGCGCCTTCGATGCCTCGATCTGTCTGTCCGTTTTATTCTGATAACATTTACCTTATTTTATGTCTAAAAATTTTACACACACACGCACATACATACACAATAAAATCAAAGTGTGTACCATAGAACGCACGGGCATCAGCTCAGGGAGGACATCTCAGCTCAGTGAGCTGATACCCCTCTGAACTAAGGCCTCTCTAGTTTACCTACTCACATGTGTTTTCTTTTTTTTATAATTTTTAAATCTCTGTAGTCATCTGAAATTATTCATCGAAAAACCAATATTACAAGAATACAAATTGATATTTTTTTTCAAATGACCGTAATTTCGACCTAAATTATTCTATGAGAAAATTTTTTTTTATTCAAAATATGCGGAATTGACTCAGCTTACACGTGGATTTCGCTGATTTTCGATTGTTTCGGAAATAGCCGAGACAAATAGGAAAATCCAAAAAAAGTCATTTATTTTTAAAATGAATCTTCGATTTGTGCGAATTTTGGATATGTTATTTGGGGTCACATATGAATTTTGCATATTTTTCCCATCACTATTTTGTAAGACAAGTCTTATGTGGTATCTATTGTTGCATTGCGTTTTTAGAGTCGTCAGTTTTTCATTGCACCAATAATCCAATTTTTGTTAATTTTAGTTTTTGACTGCTAAATCTCGACTAATTCGACTATAATAAAACTGACTAAACCATCGCATTATGCATTTAGCTGACAACTATTTTGAGAAGTAATGAAATATGTTCTTTAATATTGCTTGTATTTCTGAAGAAATATCCTTACTAAAAAGGAGAATGATGAGAAGTGAAGCCTCTACTGATTGTAATTAGTCATTTAGAGATATATATTTGGCATGTGGTTGGCTTGCTGATGTGATGCAAAAATATGATGTAAGAATTTGAAATTATTTATATGCTTTATATAATTTCATGAGTGTTCAACGCGCATAGTGATTACTAGTATTTATCAATTCCGTATAAATATATGTAATTCGTCTACTTTTAATTTCTTGTGTAAACAAATACAACAAAATATTGAATATAACCTCATAGAAAACAATAAAAATTAGTATAATTACAATGATTTTTAAAATAAAATATTGTACTTTTATGCACAAAAAGAAGTATTGTATTTTTAATATTCTGTTCTAGAGTTTTTATTAAGGATTCATCAGTTGCTAAACTTGGATCAGTATGTCGCAGGGTTTATAGAATATTTTCACATGCTTACTTCCATCATAAAATGATATTTGACGATTTCGAGAATGAGACTTCATTGTGTCGTCGGTTAGTATTATTTAGATAATAGATTATTCTATGCATTTCATAACTATATTAAATTTATTTTACAGTTTTACAGCGTTTGTAACAAAATATAATCTGATGTCAAAAGATAATCTAATAGTACCGATTTCAGACGGTGAAGGAATTATTGATAATGAAGCATAACGTCCTTATATGAATCGAATGTTTCAAACAATGCTAATAATATTAGTTCGTTATTTATCTAAAATCCACTAAAATTATTTGTTTTATTTGGCCAATAAAAACTTCTTAAAATATATCAAATTTTACATACACACACGCACGTACGCGCACACATCAGTTTTCATGTCACCCTATCATTTCATTTTATAACACTTTGAAGACGTATAATAAAAATTTTATGTATACAAAAAATTATAATTATGTGTACTTTCTTTGAAAAGACGTATAAAAGCTGAATTATAAAAGATAGGCTTATTTGCGGTAAAAGATATGGGTAAAGTGGTCCAGGTGGTGTCCAAACCTTACGCATATAGGTTCAAATGAATATAAAAAATTCAGATATATAAAAATATATAAAATATAAAGATATATAAAATATTTATTTGATACTGAAGTATCTTTGGAAAATTAATACAATTGCTTTATTTAATTTTTTTTGTAGTAGATTTACAATATGAAATCGGAATTTCTATTGCATTCGAACTAAATTTCAATCAAAATACCTACGAAGTCGTGACATAACAGTCAAATAGTTGTGACAGGGCGAACAGCGATAATCGCTGGCCCTGTGTGCGGCACTCTCCTCGCACGGACGCAGTGACCAGGCGTTGCTGCGGCATCATGGCATTCACGCTTAGTTTATTGCAGAGCTTGGAAGATGTGAGCGCTGTTGGAGGAAGGGGGCTCGAGATTAGAACGAGAGCGAGAACAGAGAAAGAGAAAGAGAGCAACTAATTAGCGAAGAGAGGGGGTGAATCGGCAGATTCTTAAGCGAGAGAATTCGCGGGAATCGAAAGAGAAATCAGAAGAAGAGCCGAGAGAATGTTAGAGGAAAGATGCAGCCAAAAGCCAGAAAGAGAGTTCGTAAAAAGGTGGAGAAAGACCGAAGAATGTCTGTTTGTCCGAGCTACCCGGGATACTCTCTAAAGGGGCCGTGCCGTGGAGCACCAAGATACGAGTTTGGTATCATTACCGAAGCAAAGACAGAAAGTCCTGGCAAGGTGCCCCTCATTTCAATCTTCGAGGCTGAACAGCAACGCAGGTATCGTTATCCCTCGAGCGCCTCTGCCAGTTGGGCTGCACTCCCGTCGCCTCCGGATTGTCATCTGTGAGCGAAGTACGACGGAACCTGGTGGGTAACTCTCCAGAGCATCTAACTTTCTTTTCTCTCTGCACCAGCTCTCGTTCGGAATTTCGCGGTCGTAATTTTATCCTTTTGCGTAGAGGATACTGAGCGAATTCGATCGTATTCTCTTCGCCTAAATTGCACTCGATTGTCGCGTTTTCACGAGTGAGCGAATACGATCAGTCTTTGTAATTTTGTTATTAATTCGAATTTTGTTCAGTTGTTGATCGCGTTTTAGTGTATGAGCGAGTCCGTTTACTCACTCTATAATTATTTATTTAATTTTGTAATTGCTTTTATTGGGCGTAATAAAGAGATCGCCGTTTATAACACACACACACACATATATATATATATGAAATTGGTGTATGTTATGTCTTAATTGCTTGGCCTCAATATTTCAGCCATTCGTGGTGAATTTATATTTTGGGAGTTAACGCCGGCTTCCTTAACCGAAGTAGGACCCAAAATCGCGGGGCATAGCTGTGACGCACCGTAGCTATTGAGCTTTCGCCTTGTATAGTTTAATTACAAGTTGTAATTCATGTATTTGTTCTTTCCTCAAAGAAGCGGTTATACCTCAAGAAGGTAATAAAGTTATCTATGACCGGATCCATTTCAGATCGGGCAGGCCTACGGCAATGATATCTCCGATTGACTCTGCTGTGGAGTATGTTATTCTACTTCAAAAATAAGCCGACACGTATTTTTTTTTTTTTTCGATTAGACCTCTACATCATTTTTTACGAGTATTTTAAAAAAGTGGTTAAAAAATAAATTTTCTAAAAATCAAATATTAAAATTTTAAAAAATGCTCTATATTTTCTAATTTTTTTACTTAATATGTTATTTATAGCTTATTTTACTATATTTCTTATACTCTTTCGAATGCGCCATGCAGAATAAAAAAATATTGAAAATTGGCGGGAAAAACTCAATTTTTTGAAAAAATTTCAAACTCAATTTTCTCAAAAAAGCCATCGTTTTTTTTTTCAAATTTTTATGATAGATTAAGCATTACAAGACCTTTAAATTGGTATAGGAGTGATCGCGTACTTTTACGTTTTAATGATAAAATATCGATTTTTCGTTTTTTTTTTGCTCAAAACATTGATAATTATAAAAAAATCTTATGTTTTCACTCCTGATATTTGATGATTTTATTTTATTAAATTTCTGATCTTATTTACAGGGATAACTCCTAAGATCAAAAATTTAATAAAATAAAATCATTGATAATTATAGTTTTGACATGTAAAACTTATTTACATATATATTTTATATGTATTATATAGATATGAAATACATTGTGAATGTTCAAAAAAATTATTACAACAAAATTAAAATAAAAAACACTTTATTTTTATGAAAAGTTTCAAAATAAACTCATTTATTTAAGTAATAAAAATTATATTTTTTATTTTCCAGACTTTTTAGTCTTTCTGTTTTTAGTTTTTTTTATTTTTTTGCTTATCAAACGGTTCAAATTTTTTTCTGCCAAACTTCAATTTCAATTTATTAGCTAAGTCACCAAGGCTTTTAAATCGCTTGTTTTAAGTTTTATATACACATGATTTATGCCTTTTTAAAAAGTCACAACACTTAACTCTCTTATCTGAATATGTACTATGTGGAGTCATAATTATAAACACAGAAATAAAACACTCAGTTATGATCTAAAGTGATTTTTGTTATAACGTACACTTGCTTTAATATATAATATACACCTAGAAAGCATGCATGCTTCTCTGTGTGTACACAATTTACGACTGATAGAAACTGAACTATGTGCTATCAGCAATGCGAGCACGTGTATATTTATAAGCTATTTATAGAAGAAGGAATGTAATTCTATCAAATCGCAAGACTACTATCAAACGTACAATTCTTGTATATGTATGTATGGATGTATATATAAATATCTATATATATATATATATATATATATATATAAACACGTTTCACATGTTAAAACTATAATTATCAATGTTTTGGGCAAAAAAAAAACGAAAAATCGATATTTTATCACTAAAACGTAAAAGTACGCAATCACTCCTATACCAATTTAAAGGTCTTGTAATGCTTAATCTATCATAAAAATTTGAAAAAAAAAACGATGGCTTTTTTGAGAAAATTGAGTTTGAAATTTTTTCGAAAAATTGAGTTTTTCCCGCCAATTTTCAATATTTTTTTATTCTGCATGGCGCATTCGAAAGAGTATAAGAAATACAGTAAAATAAGCTATAAATAACATATTAAGTAAAAAAATTAGAAAATATAGAGCATTTTTTCAAATTTTAATATTTGATTTTTAGAAAATTTATTTTTTAACCACTTTTTTAAAATACTCGTAAAAAATGATGTAGAGGTCTAATTGAAAAAAAAAAATACGTGTCGGCTTATTTTTGAAGTAGAATAACATACTCCACAGCCGAGTCAATCGGAGATATCATTGCCGTAGGCCTGCCCGATCTGAAATGGATCCGGTCAAATATCGAATTACTATCTATCGAAATAAAATATAGTTTACCATATAAACTACTGGCAAGATGGCTTATATTTCTTACTTTAAATATATAGTGCGTTATATATGAAAAGCTTATTAAAATACAAACACTAACGTGGATGATTTTATTAGATAGAAAATTTTAATAAATGTGGCTTTGGACGTCGCAGAATTACGAGTATATATAAAGGTATATATATTCAGCATAAATAATGAGTTTTTCAATGGCCTGCCCATTCTAACCTCTTACGACGTTATCACATCGTGTAAATGAACGCTAGTTATCCGTAAGACATTATTTTCGTGTATATATTATTACGCTCACAAACTCTGAACTCTTTCTGTAAAGTACTAACGTTGTTATATAGCTTATTATCTAATATGTTACGAAGTTCCAGCTATTTCTGAACCTTTAGTTAAATTTAATCTAGGCAAGAAAAAAATGTACTATTAGCATGTACTAAGTGCATGGCAATCAAATTGCTTATAAAATTTTATTTATGCTCCAAAAGTTCATAAAAATTTATTGGCTAGTTCCGTCTCAGACTTTTCTGAACCGTCAATCATTAACCGGTAGTACTCCCTTAAATTCTATGGGAATTAAATTAAAGAATTCAATAACGGTTGGTGGAAATATACCAACATTACGAAAAATCCCAAACCGAACTTAAGTAGTTAGTGTTGTTTGGCAAAAAATTTTTAGAAACAGCAAATAATCTTTTACAAACTGAAAATATCTTGATATTTACAAACTGTAATAATGAATACAGAAATATCGGTTCAGTTTATTACACAGTCTCACTAAAAAACAATGAAGTTTAATGTCTATCGATAAAACCATAGTATTCCTATTATTAATTTTTTTCTGCTCAATCCGATTCGGATACCCGTTTAACCTCAACACGTCAGGTTCAAGGGCATTCGAAGGTCAAATCCAGGAAAAATAGACTACTCCATTTAAATCATCTTTTTTTACATTTTTCGCGTCGCAAAATTCAAATCTGTTGTCCGTTTTAACGAAGAAAGTCAAAGTCAAAGTTATGTTAAGGTCAAATTTATTTATTTTGCCAAAAATGAATTTTTTCACTGCAGATTCTGAAAGAATGGAAAATTTTACGTCCAGATAATTTTTATTAATTTTTGTATCATAACACTGAAGGTTACTTCAAGGTAATTATGTTATTATATAAACTTTTTATGTAAAAATTGCAAAAAATACAATAATGTAGACTATACTGCTACATAAATATGTTTTCGAGATCGTTGAGTCTGAATTCGATTCCCTTTATACTCCATGAGATCGTGCTGAAGATCAAATGATGGTCAAATCGGAACTGAAAGGTTCAAACAATCAGAAATATTGCTCTAATATGTTTTAGTAGTCGCTGAATCTGATTCTGGTGTCTATTTGACTTAGCAAGATGAAAGACCATTCAAGGTCATCGAATGGACTTTGATCCATTGAGAATATAATCGAACAAGAGATCTAGAGTTTATTTTTGTAACATTACACTCAACAGAAGTCAAGTTACCCACTA